CTGGTGTACACCAGAGCACAGAGTGCTGTCCTCTGAAGATGCCGGCCACAGAGACTAGCAAACTACACCAGAGCACAGAGTGCTGTACTCTGAAGATGCCGGCCAGAGACACTGGCGAAACGTTAGGAAGAACAACCTTCAGAACATGGACAAAAAGCCCAGAAAACCCACAACAACCATTAGATCCCGGCCGTGAAAGCCTTCGCAAATATATCCTGTTTTTACTAAAATGCATCTGCCTAACATAATTGATCTTACCTTTTGAGTGTTCTTCTTAGTATATCATCAATGCTAATGAATACACAACCATTCCAGAGCAGCAGATCATGTGATTCTGTTTCTTAACAGTCTGTGGAAGTCACTACTCAAATACCTATGTTGGGGTGCTTTTTGTTTTGTTTGTCCCCCTCTTTTAAAATTGATTTTATTAATACTACGCAATACAAAACAGAAAAAGAAATACCTAGCTTTAAAAAAAAATAAAGTAATAAAAAATTCTTTACTTTTCTTCAGAGGAAAGATGCTGGTCACAGAGACTGGCGAAACGTTAGAAAGAACAACCTTCAGAACATGGCCAAAGAGCCCAAAAAGCCCACAACAACCATAAGAAAAAATACACATAAACTGCATAGCACCACTTAAAAAATTAACAAATGTACCTATAATAGTACACCCACCACAGAAAGAGATTTTTCCCCCTCATCCAATATTTGTGATGCCCCATATTTTCCAGAAAATAATTCTCTCATGTTTGGGTAATGGGCCTTCCACTTTAACTAATACTATTATGCCTGTGGGGCCAGCCGAATTCAACTAGCCTTAATACCTATGACCAATTTTGCCATTTTAAATGTTTATTTATGTAAATGTATTTTACTGCTTCTTGATCGCCCGAAAAACCCACAACAACCATTAGATCCCAGCTGTGAAAGCCTTTGCAAATACATTGCGAATATTGACTCTGAGACTAGAAATTGGGCCTTCTTGGTGGTTGCTCCCCACCTCTGGAACTTCCGGCGCAAAATCAACCAGGCCCCTTCTCTGGGAACTTTTAAATTGTTGCTCCCCACCTCTGGAAAAACTTCCCGCCCAAAATCCACCAGGCCCCTTCTCTGGGAACTTTTAAATGATCACTAAAAACATGTTTCTTTAGAAAGGCTTTCCTGGACTTTATAACATAATAATACAGTGGTTGTTTTAACGTTTATATTATTAGTCCCACTGTCTTGCCTCCATATCATTTTAATTATTTTCACTTAAATCTGTTGGTGTATATGTGTTTCATTTTGATTTTATAATTATTATGTTTAAAGTTTTAAGTTGTTGTTTGATGTTATATGTGTTTAACGTGTAAACTGCCCAGAGTGGCCTTGGCAGCCAGATGGGTAAAGGTCAAATAAATAAATAAATACGAACAGATACTATTTATTCCTTGTGGCATAAATAGCAAAACTACCTTGAATTTAAACAAACTTTAATATAGTACTAGAAAGTTGCAATCAAGAGTTACTGAATATAGTTTTCATCTAGGTGTTTTGTATATGCCAATGAAGATTTTGATTGATTAATTGAAACAAATAAATAAACAAATAAAGCATCATATAAATGCTTTCTAGTTAAAGGCAGTTAAATGCAGCGGTGGTATTTGTAAGTTTGAAACAAAACATATTTTAACTTTGTGTATGAAACACTATTAGTTAAGAAAAAATAGTGAACTAGTCATCCTTATAACAAAAGTGAAAATGGATCAGTAATTCTTTTTAAGGAGAAACATGGGTTTAAAAATGTAAATAAATCAATAAACTTACTGTGGCACTCGGTTTCTGTCTCTGCACCTCGTCTATCACTGCTTTGTGCTTTGGGGCAATTTTCACATTCCACCTGGCCATACTTTCCATTATAGGATCCAGCAGGACACAAGGTGCAGATAGTATTAGATTTTGCACTGAATTGACCTGGTGGACATGTTACTGTTCAGAAAGAAATGGAAAGAGGGCAACAGAGATAAACAATGCTATTAGCCATTGTCATTCTTTTGACCTCCATTTCAGTTCCGAAATACAGAGTAGACATGTGAAAAACATAACGGGACATCCATTGAGGTTACCTACTACCCCTACTTGTGCAGTAAGGACAAAGGACTCTGATGGCTAGATCCCTATAACCAAGAGTTTTTTTTTAAATCGGAAACTTTTTATTTCTGAAAAATTGCCACGGTTGATGATGTCCTCAGCCATATGCAGCATAGCTCTGTGAGCAGGATTTCAACCAATGTTTTATAAAAACAGACCAAACTGACTGAGATGTGTTCATGCCCAGTATATTTTATGTATACCTGGTAGTGATGGCTGCAGTACAAATATGTTTGAAAACAATAATTTGATCCAAGATAATAGAGTGGTTACCTACCTGTAACTATGGTTCTTCTAGTGGTCCTCTGTGAATCCACACAATAAACTGCATATAAACTGCACTTGCTCTGGATCCTCAGAATATTCTGGAGTTTTAAAAGCAAAGAAACATTAGTAGTACGTTGTCCCTTAATACGCATGCTCCACCTGCCCAAAGCCTCAGTTCCACTTGTCCGCTGTTGTCAGCGCTTTAGAGCGAAGAGCATGAGTGATGGACAGCGGGGAGGCCGGGTGGGATGTGTGGATTCACAGAGGATCACTAGAAGAACCATAGTTACTGGTAGGTAACCACTCTTTCTTCTGCATGGCCTCTGAATCCACACAACTGGGTGACTAGCAAGCTCACTTACTGAAGGTGGGCCGTTACTCCAGTACTAATGTAAGCACAGCTCTACCAAAACTTGCTTACTTCTTGGCCCTAAGTCCAAACAATAATGAGTCACAAAGGTGGATGGAGACAACCATGTGGCTGCTCTACAGATGTTTGAAATGTCAACACCATGCAGCAGGACTGTTGAAGTTGTCACAGATCTTGTGGAATGTGCTTTAAGAACCTCTAGAGGGGTTTTACTCAACAGTTCATAAGCCAAAGTAAGTGTAGACATGACCCACCGAGAAATCATCTATGAAGTTGTAGGAGAGCCTTTATGACGACCATGGAAACAAGTAATCAGGGAGAGGTGCGAAAGTCATTAATTTTGGAAGTATAAAAAGCCAAAGCATGGCGAACATCTGATGAGTGGAGCATGTGCTCAACATCTGAAGAAGGATTAGGAAACAATATAGGAAGAATTAATTGTTGATTGACATGAAAACTTGAAACAACTTTGGGCAGAAAGGAGACATCTGGGTACAGAATCACTTTATCTGGGAAGAATTGAAGGTAAGGTGTATCAGCCCAAAGTGCAGAGAGCTGACTTTCCCTTCTAGCAGAAGTTATTGCCACTTAAAAGATAGGAGTCAGAAGAAGCCATGGGCTCAAATGGTGGGTGTGCAAGAGCTTGCAAAACAACACACAAATAACATTGAGGAATACGAGGGTGGGAAGGTGGGCGTGTATGTTGTAAACCTTTCAAGAATATCTTCAGAGTAGGGTGTGAGAATAGATGGGAGGCCTCTGATCCCAGTGGTTGGAAGGAATAATGGCAGAAATATAGACTTTAAGGGTAGAAAAAGCCAAACCTTGGTCAAACAGGTAGCGTAAATATGAAAGAAGAGTATCAATAGATATAGGTACAGGACATAGGTCTCCTGATTTTGTAAATTTTAGGAAGCGATTCCATTTGTATGCATATAGAAGCTTTGTACTATAGATGGTTTTCTAGCTTTCTCCAACACTTCCCTAATCCTCCACACTGTCGTGTGTAGGGAGTTGAGGTCTGGGTGATAAATGCTGCCTGCTATTTGACCACAGTGCTATTAGAATGGCACTGGTGCAGACATGACGAATTTTGACTAGTGCTCTTTGGATTAGTGGGATGGGAGGAAATAGATAAAGAAGACAGTTCATCCACTCCATCATGAAGGCATCCCTGAGTGAAGCTTTGTCCATTCCTGCTTGAGAGCGAAACATGTCGCACTTGTTGTTGAGATGAGTTGTGAACATGTCTACTTCTGGAAAACCCCACCTCTCACAAATCGTTTTGCTGGATAGTATAGGACCTAGCCGTTTTCTTTATTTTGTGAAATGTCTCCACAATTTCATCGGTTTTCTCATTAAATAAGCCAATACCATCAAATGGTAGCTCCTCTATACGTGCCTTAGTGTCCTCTGCAATTCCTGACGATCTCAGCCACGCATGTCGTCTCAACAAGATAGCAGATGTCAGAGACTTAGATGCAACTTCAGCTGCATGGTGAGCAGCTAACATTTGGTGCTTGGCCACAGTTGATGCTTCAGTGTGGGTGTTAAGTAATATAGATCTATTCTCAGAGGCTGATTGAAGGGTGGGCAAAAACATGGCCCAAAGTTGCCTCTGATAGGTCCCTAAAGCAGCCTGGTAATTTGACACTCTTAGTAAAAATAAGGTAAAAGAATACATCTTATGTCCCTTCGTGGTTTGTAGGTGTCACTTTGGCTTTTCCTCCTGTCTTGGAGAGATTGGTCTGTACAATAATCGAATTAGGGACAGGATGCTTAGAAAAGAGTAAGGTGTTGGTGCCATGTGCACTTTAATGCCCCTCCATTTTTCTAGAGATCTGCATCGAGGCGGCAGGCAGGTTCCAAGCCTCCTTAATAATATCCATAATGACAGGGATAAAGGCGAAACTAAGAGAGTGCGACTTTCCTTGGTCCATATCACCAAATACGATATCTTGTTTGGGGGGTGATGGTTGTTCAGCATCAAGCTGGAGTGATTTAGCCATGCGAGCAACCATTTGTGCATAAGATGTAACGTCTTGAGATGGGGAAGGAGGACATAAATCCCCAACATCAGAATCAGGTGTATTAATGTTTGGAGGAGCTTCCTCCGATGCATTAGAAAAAAATTATTCTTGGTCCGAGTCAGACGAGGCTGAAGATTCTCTTGGGGAAGAAATAGAGGTCGAAGGGGATAAATGGTGCCTTTTAGAAGCCTTAGTAGAAGCAGTTTGTTTAGAATCTTGTTGAATTTGAGGTGCAGCAAGTTGATGTCGAGAGACTTGCACCGGAGCCTTAGCATTGGCATTGGTCTTCTTAGTCATCAGTGCCATCTGTGTAGAGGAGTGCCGATTAGAAACCCAGTGTCCAGTTGTTTTGGACAATGGAATCTCAATGTCATGGCTGGATCTATGTTGACGTGTAGGTGGCGATGGTGATGACAAAGAGGATGAGACATAAACATATGTAACCCTTCTACTCCTGCCATAGTCTTCAATTTCATAAGATGGGAAGACATTGGAGTCATCTTGATATCGATGACCCTTAGTTTTACGTTCGACTTTGACATAAATAGGATTATCATAATCAGAAGAAGCTTGATGTCGAGAGCATCTAGGTAGCACCAACACCTCTCAATGTGATGATTGACGTTGAAGAGGAGAGATGTGCCTTCTTTTTGCAGTCTTCTTTCTAGGCCATGCCTGGTGCAGGGATTCCTCTGAATTCGACCGCCTTATCACAATCACCTACCTGGTAGATACAGGGCTAGAATGGGCAGAATCATGGCTAGAGATAACCTCAGCCTGTACTTGATCCAGAGTCTGGGGGAAGGCTTGGTATCGAAGCCGAGGCCTGTGTCACTCAGTGTAGAGTGGACGCATCCCCCTCAGAAACATAGTCATCAGGCATGTCTATAGACAACTCCTCTGGTATCAGGGAAGGCACTGAAGCCAAGATCAGTGGTATGTCACAAGGTTTGTCCTTATAGGGTTTGTCCTTTTTATTGGGCTCATCCGAAACCACATTTTTCAGGTTTTCTGCTGATGAATGCTTTGACGTCGTACCAGAAGGGAGAGTACAAGACTTCTTAGTAGGTTTTTTGGAGGACTTCAAAGGAGATTTATGCGAAGAATTAGAAGGTAATGAAGGTGTCATGGATTCAGGACGGGCGGGGGGGCGTCTGAGACGGAATCTGGTCCATAGCAGGTTTGGGGGGGGGGAAGAGACTTACTCCAAAGAAAAGCCGTAAGTCTCTATTCGTGGGATTTCAATGCTGGCTTTGAGAGCTTCTTGCACTATGGACAGGCTTGAGGTTGATGTTCCTCCCCCAAACAATACAGACAATGGTTGTGACCATCAGTAAAAGGTATTTTAGCTTTACAAGAAACACACTGCTGAGGAGGCCATCAACCGGGAAGCCCCAAGATATGATAAAGACAAAGTGACTGATGGAACGGCAATCGAAATTCTTAGACGGTAGTGGGAACAAGTCAAAATAGCTAATCAAAGGGAGAAATGTTAAACAGTCCAAATCCAATCAATCCAAAATCAATCCATGAGAATAGTCCGTGTCGAAAAGGTGGGAAACTGTAGCCAAAAACAGTCCGAGTCAAATCAAGAGAATTATGGAAAAAGTAGTCCGTGTAGAAAAAGCAGGAAACAGTAAACAATCAGAGTCAAACCAGGGAAACAATGTACAACAGTCCAAAAGACAAAGCCGAAGTCAACAGATCTGTAACAAAATCGTTTAACCAAAATCAAAACAGAAAGAATGGCTCTAGTAAGGAGGTTCCAACCGCAAAGGTGGCAAAAAGGAACTGAGGCTTTGGGTGGGCAGAGCATGCGTATTAAGGGACAACGTACTACTAATGTTTCTTTGCTTTTTAAGCTCCAGAATATTCCGAGGATCCAGCGCAAGCACAGTTTATACCCAGTTGTGTTGATTCACAGAGGCCATGTAGAAGAACCATTGTTTTGAGTTAACTTTTAGCCTGTTAATTATACTTTGATATTTGGAGAAAAAAGCTGAAGTATGTAACTTTCAGTCACACACACACACACACACACACACACACACACAGAGAGAGAGAGAGAGAGAGAGAGAGAGAGAGAGAGAGAGAATTAGGATTGATTGAAAGACTTTCAATCTTAAGGTTAAACCATAAAGGATTTTTAGAAAGGATCTAAGAATGACAAAATTAGCAAACTATGAAAAAAATCTAGAGATGGACACCAGTTACATGATATGTCTGCAGAGTACTGGCATTACTACCAATACTGGGCAGAGAAATTATTGTTATTACTAGTAACAATAATAACAGTCATATATATTTTATTGTCTCATGCTTCCCCCCCCCAAAAAAACTGGCTATTTCTCTATCTCTTCTAGCCCTGTGATACTAGTTTATTTTCAATTTATGAAAAAAATTTCAAATGTTTCAAGCTTAATCATTTAAAAAGGGAAGAAAAGATAATACACAGGTAAAGGAAAGAACAGTAATATTGTATATTTCATTGCAAGTAGTATGTTAAATACATATTTATGTTAAAATACATACATTCTTGGTAACTCACCACAACATCCTGGACATGTGGTGTTATTGTTTAAGTCATTTATATTTTTCCCAAAACCTGGTTTGCAATGGTCTACTTTAACCCCAGTCAGAGTGCCAGGAACATAACTTAAATCATCACGGTGAGAAGAGTCAGTTTTTTGGACTTCAAAGAATTGCCTGATTTTGGTATATGCCTAGAACAGTAACAATTGAGAAAAATAACTACTTTAATATCGGCCAAACTGTGACCTGTGAATAATGATAAACTATAAATATTATAAAATATTATATAATGTTTCCTTTAGGCTGACATGATGGATATTAGCATATGTATGTTTTGTAACAGGGGAAGCAGATTCTGAAACCTATTTGGGCATAATACTAGTAGAAAAGGTAGGATGAGCAAATGAGGCTTTTAAAAAATTATTGGGCTTCAGTTGTTCACCAGGCCTGGTGAGGCTGGCTAGATCTGGTGAAGTCTTGGGGAACTCCTATGATTCCCCAGCAGTCCAGATGAGGAGACAATTGTAGGACAAGAACCAATGGAGGAGGGAAAAGTTTAATTTTGTTTGTGTGTATGAAGAGGCCACCCATACCAGTCCATTCTCAGGTGGCATCAAGATTCACTGGCCCTGTACTGAGGTGTTTGTACATGTGTTGAATTTATGCAATCTTGATGCATGAAAAAGCCAGGAGTGATGGAAGGAGACTAGGGGAGTGCTGGTAGACTGCAATGCATCGAGGCCCATTACGCCATTTGGAGCAAAGCATGAAAGAGAGTGCCAGAATTGTGATTTATGATGCACACATTCCAGAAGGAGCAGCAGCAGTCTGGGAGAAAAATTGTGAGTTGCTGGTGAGGTTTCCACTAGTCCCTGCAGTAGTAGAAGGCCTGGAAAAACTCTTTAGTTGTCATGTATTCTGTAAAGAAGGTCACAGAGGATGTGAGCCCTAGTGGGAATGGTGGCAACCAATTAAGATGAAGAGTACATTCTACCCATGCTTGCCTCCCTGTCAAATAATATTTTCCTTTTTGACTCTGGATCACCATATTATCTGGTTAGCTGGTTTTTATAAGGATTCTTAGCCCATTCATTTACATTCCCCCATAATACTCATCAGCTGGACCCAGAAACAGCACTAGTCTCCCTCCACACACTAGCCTTCTGCACTCCTGTAATATTTTCCCTCATCTTAGTTTTTGGTCTTCACATTTCAGGGAACTGAATGGTGCTAATCTGGCAAGCGAAGCCCTGGGTAGCTCAGCAAATGGAGAGGAGTGCTAGAAGCTGCAGCCCAACAATATCCAGAGGGCCACAGTTGCTGACTACAGGAGGAAATTCTGTATATAGGATGCTACTTAGAAGTTGTATTTGCATAGGGCTTCCGACTACACTGTTGATATAGTTTTAGATTGAGTAGTTATCACTCCCCCAAGCTAGGCCACAGAAACAATTCATGAGACTGGCACATAGTTTTTAACCTATCTGGTGCATCTACTTTACCTCACTGCTGTCTTTTTCTCAACAAAAAGTGAGTGGGAACAGTATTCAGTCTGAAACTGTCAAGGTGGCCCATTAAATAAAAGCATATACTGTAACCCTTAGTGATAGAAAGATACTGGTAAAACAGATAGTACGAATTTACAGTGGGTTTGAGTACGTGTAAGTTTACCATAGCTATGTCATATAGCTTGAGTTCTCCAAAATACCATAGTCAATATTATACTCTGAACTTTTAACATATTCTTTACCTCTTTCATCTTGTTTGTAGAATTTTCACATTGAGAACTTCTGCAGATATCTGCTATAGTTAGCACTAAAGGATACACTACAAATTAAGAAAAGATAGACAGAAATGTTAATATTTTAACTGGATTGTTCTGTGATACATTATTCCAGTAGCAGTCCCGTAAGATAAAATCCACATCTAACAAAATAGTGACTTTATCACAGTTAAGAATCCATTTGCAGTTCATTCGTAAGCTGTAAGTTTTACATAGTGGTGAGATTATTGGACAGCATTCTTGGTTGTTTTAAGTTGATTGATTTGCCACTGTCAGGATTCAGTCAGATCTGCTCAAATCTGCTTGGTGAAACAGTGAAAATAACGGAGCACCTCTTAACTATGGGATGATGTTATTTTACATCATTGCCACAAATCAGTCATTAGGTTCTGTAACTGATTTCATAAACCCACAACAAACCATCCTAACTAGTTCAACTTTTATTTAGGGAGGTAATGGTATTAAGTTAGTGACATGGACTGCATAGTGTACAGACTCTTACATGAGACTTTTTTTAACTGATGCAGTTTCAATATTTTTGTCTCATTGTAAGGCTCTGCTGATAATTCTTCTAGGTGGTGCACTAAAGTGAGTGAGGAGACTGTCATGGCTCAAAAAACCACTGTTACTCAGAAGACAGAGCACATACACATGAAAGCTATAATCTTTGCCTTTATGTTATATTTATTATCCCTACACTTTAGCTCCTTTTCTTCAGGCTCAGTGTAGAGTGCAGAAGATGCTGGAGACAGGGTGACCTGCAAAAGTTCACATAGGCTTTTGATCCTTAATTTGCTTTTGTATAGACCATGGTGGTCAACTTTGATGGGTGTGAGAGACAAATTTTAAATGTTGTGTAAGGCTCCCAAGTTGCTGAAAGTGGCCACTAAAAATAAATCCAATTGGAAGTTCCCAGATACTGACTTCCAGTTTTTATTTGTGATGGAATAAGAGGCTTTAGGGGCCCTCCAAGGTGATGAAAGAAGAAAATAGTTGGAAAATAGCACTTGGTTGGGATTTTCTTTAATGGAGTGGAAATGAGGGGTAGCACTGGAAGATTATAAAATGTCCCTGGGGCATCCATACTTTGCCCATTACTGCCATAGACAAATTCAGAAATAACACTTAAACTGCAGCAAGTATCAGCTTTTAAACTAGTCTTGCCTCACAAACCTTTTTGAATTCTTTGAAAAGGTCAACAGGAATGTGGATGTGGGCAAACCAGTGGATATTGTTTATCTGGATTTTCAGAAGGAGTTTGACACGGTCACCAAAGGCTGCTGAGAAAATTTTACAGTCAGGGGGATAAGAGGGCAGCTCCTCTTATGGACTGAGAATTGGTTTAAAACCAGGAAACAGAGACAGGTGAAAAGCAGTGTGCCCCAGGGATCTGTCCTGGGACCAGAACCTTTCAACCTGTTTATAAATGACCCGGATACAGGAATAAGCAGTGAGGTGGCCAAGTTTGTAAATGACACAAAACTTTTCTGGTTGGTGAAGACCAGAAGGGATTGTGAAGAGCTCCAGAAGGATCTCTCCTAACTGGGAGAATGGGCAGCAAAATGGCAAATGCGTTTCAAAATAAGAAAATGTAAAGTAATGCACATTGGGGCAAAAAAAATCAAAACTTTATCAGCTGATGGGTTCTGAGCTGCCCGGATGGATCAGGAAATTTATTTATTTATTGGACTTAGACTTGGTGTGCTGGCAGTGAAGAAGGCCAATTCCATGCTAGGGATAATTAAAAAGGGGATTGAAAATAAAGCAGCCAACATTATAATGCCATTGTACAAAATGCTGGTAAGGCCACACCTGAGGTACTGTGTACAGTTCTGATCGCCACAGCTCAAAACAGACATAGTGGAACTGGAAAAGGTGCAGAAGAGAGCAATCAAAATGATTAATGGGCACCTCCTTTATAAGGAAAGGCTACAGCGTTTGGGGCTCTTTAGTCTAGAGAAAAGGCAACTGAGGGGGGGACATGATTTAAATGTAAAAAATTATGCAGGGGATGGATAAAGTGGATAGATATAAGCTCTTTTCCCTCTCACA